ATCGCTAATTACAAGCCAACTACACCTGTCCATAGTAAATCCAGGTCACGAACGGTATCTCGCGAACCATCGGCGCTATTTCCACTGGCACAGAACTATCCTCATCCGTAACAGTGGAGAAAAAGCAACCCTACGATTTCCCCCCTGAAAAAAAGCGTGTCGATTGTCCGTCGTCCTTGGTTGACCGTATAATTCCTGAAACGGAATTCCGGGGCAGGGTGACCGGGTCTGTACATCGACAGCGTGTCGATTTATCGCGGGATCGCAATTTAGTGTTGTACGAGCTGTTAGCAAACCGACGGCTGCAAATTGATGCCCTCTGGGCCCAGTGTCGGTAAATTAATAGACCCGGCGTTAGGTTCAATCGATGATACGCAATAAATTGATGGAATCGTTATTGCACGGGTCCTGGTATTATTTAATCAGCGATGCACACTTCATTCGAGCACGATTTTCTGAATAACTGTGTGTATAACTAGATGCTCGAATAACATAGAGGAAGGAGGGGGTCCAGGCCAGGCTGTCCATTGTTCATCGACGGTGATGATACATACACTGCAGGTCGCTTCATGCCAGCGCGCCTCGTTAATGACACCGACACGACGACCGTGGAAAACGACACCCCCCCTCTTTCGCGCGTCTTCTTGATTTTCTCCATTTTTTTGTTCCCGCCCCTGCACGTTTTTTCCCCCTTTCCTTGATCGATGCCGGGACTTTGTGTCCGTCGGAATCTCAGCGAACCGTGAAGCTGCAGCCAGGTTGCACCGATGGGAGTCACGTCGACGATCGGCAAAAGGAACAAGTGCGGATGGCGCAAAAAAAGTTACGGAACAGGGACGAACAACGAGGTACTTCGAAAAGTATTCGAATGATGGATACGTCGCTGGTTAGCGGTGTAGTCATAAAATTCGTGTCACGTTCTTGGACTTCTCGTCACGAGAACTCAAGTATTCGAATATTTGGTCACGATAGCTTCGAACCATCGAGTTAGCCTCGATTCTACGACAAATTTAACTTACGAATGTTGGTATTTGACGTTCGCGCCAACCTAGCCTGTAAATTCTTCTAGACACACGCGTATTCATCGGAGCTCGTGTATTTCGATTATAAAATCATTCGAATGTCTCCACCCCTGTTGCGGGGTGCCGGCGAATCGCGAACAGAACGCGGAGCCCGCGTTCCAAAGGATCAACGTTTTTGCGTTTTGGCCTCGAGGCTCGAGCGTTATCCCCGTTTCCCTTTTTCCATTGGTTCTCCGTCGTTCTTGGACCGTTGTTTTCGCTCAACTCGAGACTTATTTCCGTCGTTACACGTGCTCACGGCTTGTTAAACTCCTAAGCCTGCGCTTGACGGCTAATAGCTAGCAATTATTCGAACGCGCCACGGGGAAAGCTTCAGCGAGTTTATTAAAGCTTTCAAGAATCAAACGAAAAATTTCATCAGAACGGCCGGCATTCTGGCCAAGTTCCCCGGTTTCTTTTCTCCTTTCTTGCCCCAGCCGTTCTTTATCTAGTGGTTTTTATCTCTGGAGCCACCCGGGCGACGTTGTAATACGGCCAGTTAGCGACTACGCTCCGAATGCGCCTTAAATAAGACATCCAACTTCGCGGCGGTTTTACTGAAGGATTTAGGAGAGGCACAATCCTCTCGGAAACGGAGTAAATACTTTATTTCAGTCTTTAGAGTCCCGTTGCCTCTCATTTCGAGGAGAATTCACAATACGATCTTTTCAATCGGATGAAGAACACTGTCTTCGCAGACGGCGAAGACGTCCCACTGAAAACCTGCTGAATGACGCTCGCTCGTTAATCCGTTCCTGATGCGGTTAACCCTCAGACGTCAAGCTTGGATGCGTGGATGTAACCTGAAATTAATGTCAGGCTGTGAGAGGTATACGAAGAAAGCGAAGATTAAATATCAATTTCTGATGCTGGAATCTCTAAAACTGTTTTGATCTTCAACCATCGAGGTCAACGCGTGTTACTATCATATTAGATACTACTGAATCTTTGAATTGTAGTGGACGAGGGTGAACCAATTTCTCGGTAAAAACACTCTCCTATTTCAACAACTGCTATCTGAAATTAATGACAAGTCGTGAGAGGTACAAAAAGAAAGCTAAGATCCCATTGATCTTGAATGTCCTATTTCTGAAACTGAAGTCTCCACAATTGTACGCGACTGGTAATTCTAATCTTCAACACTAGAACCATCGAGGTCGACGCGTTACTATCATATTACATACTACTAAATGTTTGAATTGTAGTGGACGAGGTAAAATCGCTCCTCTACTTCAACAACCCCATCTGAAACTGTTAACAAGCGAATGATTAATAAAAGAAAATTCAGGACACATTATTAAAGGGTGTCTTCAGGGTTGAATAGCGTAATCGTCTCGGGTCTTATCAGAGCCAGCACGTTAGATCACGATAGAGTCCGTAGTCGACGCGATACAAAATCGATGCACGTGGTCTGCATTGTTTTATGAAAAGGAGAAGGCAATAGCCGCGCGTTGAACAGCGAATCGAACGTTAACGAGGCTTCAACGTCTTCGTCACCCCACGTTAATATTAGAGTAACGGCTGACAAGCCGTCGGCTATTAGCAGTTGGTTACTCTTCGCGTGCCACCGATTGCTGACGTGGAACTTGGTCTAAGGCTCGCTGTTTTTGCCACTCACGATCGCGACGCAGATCCTGGTCGACGAATTAGGTCGAGATTTAGAGAATACTTTTAAGCATGCAACGCATAAACGGTAAATTGTTGTACATGTTATGCAGGACAGAGAGGGTGAATTGGCAAATGTTTACAGAGTTGTAATAACCCTTACGGAAGTTGACTGACAAGTGCATCACGACTTTGTTTCGAAAAACTCGAGATAAGATTGTTTAGCACGTGTATCTGGTTGGTTTATTCTACGAGTTGGTTGTCAGGAAACCCTGTTGTTGAACAGGACCGTCGCTTGTGTGCATTAAACGATACTTTCCAACGAGTGCATTCAGTCTCTGGTTCCGGGAGGTATATCTTCGACTCTGGATCGTGTTCACGAAGGTGGAAGACAAATATAGAGACATGATTATAGATGACACGCAACAATCCGAATCTACTTTACCACTGACTGTCAAATTGAAAAACTGGAAGACCGTCAACATGATCGAGAAATTTCGAGAATACTAGCTGCAAGAGAGGGCTGATGATCGCTACAAGGTTGAACAGAACCACATAGGTAATTAATATTTGAACAAACAAGACCATGTTCCACTTATTCGACAAAGTGCAGGGATTGATATTTCCTTGGCGTTCTTCGGTAGCAGCACTGTCCCACGCCCGCTGTTCTTGATAAAGGGCTGCGTCCATCGTCTTCTTCTCCTCGCTGTTTCTTATCTTACGCACGCATATATAAGCGCAAAGCACTCATGTCTTGATATTCCCTTAACACGATTTGAAATTTAAATTTTAGCGAATGGCCTGGTCCCCGGACCACTCTCCTTCACGACCCTTTTCTCGATGGCGTCGGCATTGAGAGGACGGCTTCGCATGCAAGGAAAACGACTGCAGACCCCCCCCCCCCCTCCCCGACACTTGATTACTCTCGGCTCGCAAGGACATGATTATTTAAAACAAATCACAGCAACGACATTTATCCTCCGCTAAACCGCAGCTACCCAGAGTATACTCGATCGAGGAGCCGTACTTCGTTCACCAACGCGGTTGCGGCATTCAACCGTTTCCCATTCAGCGTAAGAGATGTTTCGAAAGCGAAGAACTTCACATTTGCTCAAGATTCGACCACAAAACAGTTTTCCTATTAGGAATTGACAGCATCCCCGCGGACAACTGGCCTGAACCACCCCCAGTGTGTGTACTCGAACGTGTAGGCACCGGCTATAAGTACATGGATCCTCCGAGCGTGCCATCCGCATCGTCGCCTCACCTGGTGGAGCACGAGACTACGACTAGCTAGAGGGGGTCGAGGGGGGACGAGGATCGAGCGATAATATCGGGCACGAGGCGTGCGAGGAACTCGAGAACGAAAACCGCAGCCGAACCTCGGCGACGTTCTCGGTGGTCAACTTCGAACACAGATAGGACAGTGGTCCTGAGAGGGGCGGAGAGGCGAAGAGGGTAAGGGTGGCGAGGGCCTGTGGAGGAAGATGAACGGAATACGGCGCAGGCGGAATGGGGATAAATAGACGGACTCGGAGGCGCGACGGAGAGGGAGGACGGGCTAAAGGGGTGGAACGAGGACGGAGGTTATCGGGAACGAAGAGGACCGATAGAGAAGGAGAGAAGCAGACGGCAGGTGCAGGAGAGGATTCGCGTACGGGCGGGTGAGTTGTGCGTACCAATCGCGGGTTCAGGGTACGTCCGCAGGCACGCAGGAGGTGGCGAAAACCGGGCACAGCCCCAGGAGCAGTTCCGGCAAACGGGGCAAAACCGCCCACGCTGCTTCCCGGGGAGCGGCGCGCGTCTGCCTCGCGCTGCAGCGAGTGCAACACACCGAGTGCCGCGCGCGAAAACGGGCTTCAACGCGACTCGGTTGGGTGGTGGCCCGCTGTTCACTCGTCGGAAGGAAAAAGCGAGACAAGAAGCACCCCAGCGTGAGCAAGAGAGGGTGAGAGAAGGAGCGATGGGAGGAAGAGATGAAAACAGAAGGAGGGAGAAGGAGAGTGATTGAAACGCGAGAGAGATGTGCGTGACGGAGAAAGGGTGGAAACGGAAGAGGAACGAGGAAGAGGAGAAGGAAGTAGGGTAGCAGAGTTGGAGGGGAGGGGTGAGAGGTGGCGGAGGTTGGGCGACGGGGGTGGCGGCCGATTCTCGGTTGGTGGCTGCGGAGGCGAAGGCCGAAGGGGTGAGCGAGGTGGCGGCGGTGGCGGCGGCGGCGGCGGCGAACATAAAATCCGTCGCACATGCCTGGTGCATTCATTAGGGGGGATGTGCCCGTGCAGCGTACACGTCGACCTGCATCCACGCCACCCTCACTCTCTCACGGTGCCACCCCTAGCCTCAGTCGCGCTCCGCGGCCAACTTGGTACACACGCCACTTTGTTGTTCCTCCGTCGCGGAGAGAGCTCCCGTATCGCGTACGCGTTTTCCCGTACGCTATCGTGCCTCGCGTCCGCGGGGGTTGATCGTGCCGCGTTATTCGTCCTCGATCCGTCATTGATCGCCGAACGGGACTGATCCGTCGAATTCCACGTTGATTTCGACTGTGTCGCGGCAATTCGATCGCGGTACTTCCCCGCGTTCGATCAACGACGCAGTTGAACCAGACGTTCGCGTCTAACGAACGCAAGTGCCGTCCTGTCGTGTGCGCGAATATACTGTCCATGAAGGTGACGAAGTCTGCCGTTTCCATCGTGAACGGAAGAGAAAAGGATCCGTGAAGAGGCAGACCACCGCAACCACCGAGGAGTTCGTCGCTCGAGCCGATCGTCGTTCACGAAGATCATCACGGAAGATCTTCCGCGGGAGGATCAACGGGATCCTCCTCTGATCTGCGTCGCCGGCTACGGGAGGCCGTCAGGGATTTCATGATCACGAATTTCAGTAAACCAGGTAACGATGCGCCGTGGCGCGTCGATTTTCAGACTCTTTTCATCGCATTTACGCGTCGTTCTTGCTACGTCCGACGAGAAAAGTGCACGTACCGATTTTTACCGCTTAGGCATTCCTGGCGACACGCGGCCCGCGGGAGAGGGGAGATTCCGCGCCTATCCGCGCGAACTGCCTACCAGAACGGGGCTCATCGATCGCGGGATCTAGAGCAAGGCTCGCCGAACTTACCCGCGAAACCATGCTGTGCTTTTTCGGCAAATTGCAGGCTTGCGATGAGAACGCGATCGTTAGAGTAGGAAACGTTTCATAGGGTAAAAATACAGTTTTAGAGGTAGAGGATATATTAAGTTGCGCGGATCAAGACTTAAGATCTAGGGTACAATATGTACATAAGTAAAATTTGAGCTACCAGAGTAGATTATTATGAAGCTGTGTCTTCTCGTCACGATTAATTTCTACGGTTATTTAACCTCTTCGCGCCCTTGGCCACACATGTGGACGTTCAGTTTTTTATAATTATAACTACTGTCGATAATTTAAAAAAAAAAGTTTGATAATAACCAAAAATATTCCCTGAAGAGGTTAAATGTGTAAAGCTTACAGACCAACGTACGACTAATGTAACCATACGATCCTTAAAAACTATTAGGAATAAAAATGTTCTGATCGCTGTTCAAAACATCCCCCGTCATAAATCTCTAAACCATTTCTCTCTTTGTACGCGAGGGGTGGCAACTAAGAAATGCGTGGCATTCTGAACCTGTCAAGTTAGTGTTGCGAGTGCGGTGATGTATCTAGCATTCCTTTTCAGGCTCGCAACTCTCGTCAGAGCACTATCTCGACAGTGTCCAATTCCCGCCCAACTCGAGAGTTTGTTTACCAATTTAGGAGGAAACGCTGCCAGCACGCGTGGCACGGTTCGTCGAGCCGTGATCTACATATAATTCCTCCCTCTGTCGATCGCGAGAGGATAAGAACCAAAGAGACGACGAACGTTTCAACCACCATTTCGAGTCCATTCTCCTTTCCCATTCACAGCTCTGCGGTTAGCTTTCGTCGATACGACCGTGTTCCCGATTGCTTTTGTTATCTGCTTTTAACGTTAACCGATAATCGGATAGGGAAAATAAGGGAAACTGTTCGAGATCGATCGCGAGGAAATATGTAGAATTCGTGGGAGGAGGAATACGCTGTTAAATTCCGCAACTGATCGCCGAACAGGATAGTTTAACGGATTTCAATAATGCGCTCTGTAAACTAGACTGCATTTATCGGGTTTGCGTTCGATTGAAACATAAACTGCGCCGATACACGGACAAAAACAAGCGATAACGCGATTGTCAATTTTCGAGACCGCGTACGGAGCAACTAACACTCTGTAATTTGTATTATTCGACCCCTCCCCCCCCCCCCTCCTTCGTCACCGTCCAAATACAATTTGCGTTTAGTCCCGCGGTTGATCGAGGAGAAAAATAAGATTCTATAGCCGTCCGACTACGAATTCCAACGAAGTAGCTCTTAATGTTTGTATATTGAAAGCCGCGAAGACTGATTCTTGCTCAAGTAGAGGTTAATCGTGTGTGATAGGAATTCGTAATTCTTTCATCGTGGAATCATTAAAAAGTCACAGAGGTTATCCTTTCTTTTTGATCCATAGATCTACCTAAAATATTTCCAGTTTTTCGAGCACATATCGTGTTAATAGTAACATTTACGAATGTATAATAGCATAGGGGCATTTAAAGGACTGATAGCAATACAGCCTACTCCAATGTGATATTTTAGAGTATATAGATAATATAAATACAATTACCACTAGTATATTCTATTCGATAAGTTCATGATTTTACCGTAGGAATAAAGAAATTAACCAGTTTTTTTTAAAACTATGAGCCTAAAAAGGCCAACAACCTTTGTCCCATTGCATAATATGACCTATTGAAAACCCAGTAAAAACAGCACCTATAAAGTTTGCTGATAATGAGGAGGTTTCATCTGTGCGCAATGTTTCCTTGTCGAAAAACTTAAAAGGTAAATTATTAAATTTCCCCAGAGAATTCGTATAAAGGATTGTTCGTCCCATGTTCATTTCGCGATATCAAATTCTCTGAAACAAAGTAGCGTATTCTATCGACAAATATATATATACGTACTGTTAATAATGTTAAATATTAAAAATACAGCGAAACGGGAACAAAAGCTGAAAAATACAAATTTTAGAGTCATATTTTGTATCGCAATCGGTACTCGACATGCAACGAATAAATGCGACGTTTCGTTGCGCGCTTCAATTTCCCACTTGTTAATAGCAAGATTGCATCATTAACAAACACACGGTTGAGGACGATTATTTAATTTCACATTAATTTTATATTTTTCATCGAAAACGAGGCAAAAACTTGTTTTCCCCCCATTGACTCTCTAAAGCACGTGAAATGGTCTTTTTCGTGCGGAACTCGTTTATGCAGATTTAAATGTAATAGAAAAGAAAAAAAAAATAAGAGGAACAGTGTCAGAGAAAGAAACTTTTGCAAACTGCACACGCGAACTTTCGCGCTGTAAATGAAAAACTGTTAAACAGGGGCGAGACTTCCGGAAATAAAAAAATAAATAGAGATTGTTTTATTAAACGAAAGCGTTTCTACTTGAAATTAATTTGTTGAGCTTTAGAAATTGAAAAAAAAGTTAACATACGTGTAAAGAAAAACGTATAAAATTATTCTAATTAACTTAGCAGTAGGGGCATTATAAGTCGTAACTTGTTCAAACTTTATAAACAATAGACTAGTATTACTTAAGGGAATGAAATATGTATGTACCACGGTGTCGATCAAACGTAAAAATAATTTCTATATTTAATAAGAAGATATGTGCTTGAATTATACAGGAAAGGATCCAAACGAAAGGTCGAGACATTTGCATTTAACGGAATAAACTACTTTCCATTCAGTCTTCAAATAAAGTAAGCATCCCCTATTGTATTTTTCGATATGAAAATTCGAACGAAGCGTACCATTTTTCACTGGAGTTGCCGCGGGATTATTTGCTGGATATTTCGCAGGGTAACGTTCTTTCGGATGCAAATACAGAACCATCGTAACTTCTTACATGTGCCGCAACTGTGAACAAATATCGCGATAACGGTATATCAAGATTAATTTTTAATTTTCTGCGATGTAGGGGACAGAGCAGGTTGAACGATTTATAATTCACCTCGAGCGCATAATCGCCACCGTATTTTGGCTTGCGCATAGATTAAAGTAAAAACCGATCGCGTGGAGGGAAATACTTAGGCTACAACCTACTGAAACCATTATCGTTAGTTCTTCGTTGCTTTAACCGTCATGATCTTCCACCAACCTGTGTTAATTTTAACCTGTGTTCTTCCCCATCAGTCTCGATAGGTTCAAAAATCCTTCTGCTGCTTTAATAGCAGCAGGTTCCAACCCCTTAAACACAAGTCCACCCTCCGTTAAATTCCCAGAAAAGTCTCCAGCAAAAACGAAATATCGTCTCTTTCTCGATCCTCGCCTCCTGTGCTTCATCGACCGAGTCCTTCGATCGCAAAGGAGTCTCGCGAGAGGGAGGAAAATTCGTTGTGGTGTTCAGAACCCGTTTACAATTTTCCATAGCGTAACGAGTACCTATGAAACGCGCGTAAGTACGTCAATAAGAGAGCCCCGTTCTCATGCGAGAAACTTCCTGGTTGCGTTTGAAGATCAAACGCTAAAAGCATGCGCTTTCTCCACCTAAGCTGCGCAAGGCTGCATTGTCGCTGGGAAAATGCACGGACGAGCGCATCAAATTTCTCTGCGACCATACGAACCTGACGCTACTTGGTTCGCCTGTCGAGTACACAGGGCCGTGTCCAGGTATTTTCGCGACGAAGGAATACAGATGTCCTTCGGAGTGTCTTTCTTTGATGTTGCAATAAACATTTCGATTGAGTTTTTTTTTTTTGTATAGTAAAACCATTTTCAAGATGATATCTACGAGTGTGAATGCAATCAAGTAATTCCTCGCTTAAAGATTGAGAAATTGGAGCAGTTATCGTTAACCGAGTGTGGAGAATTTTGTCTCTGAACTGGTCAACCCTTAATCGTCAATCATCATAGCACGGCGAGAACAATGAATGGTATCGAGCATCGAGAATGAACCAGATGTAGCAACAGGTAGCGAGTGGCCGCAACTTCAAAGCGATGTCGAACCCGTATAGCCGTGTCAACGCTAATGGGAATTCAAACTTACTATATTTCTCGTTGTACTTTTACGAGAGTAGCATCAATCGGTTGGCGAGGATTTCCCGATGAAAATGAGCCTGAACACGATCTCCTTCGGACTATTTTTAATTACGATTATTCGAATCCTTCTTCAAAGACTTTCAGCCACTTGAAACAATAGGATGAATAGTACAAGCAAGATCGTGCTTGGATTTATTTCTACCAGGAAAACCTCGCTGATCCTCTGATGATACTCTCATGGCGATAAAGTGGGAAATATAGAAATTTTTAAGTAAAAACTTTAAAGAAATAGTTTACAAAGGCAATATGTTCAACTCGATGCTCGTGTGGGCCAGTTTCTATCTTGGTGGGGCTGATAAGACACGTCCCCATGAGTGAAGGTATAGTGTGTAGAGTCATTTATACGCGTGTGCAGGTCACACAGACTCCCTACTAACTTCCATTGCAGTTCCATCATCCTTTGTATCTTACCATGATAAGTCACCTGCCCACGCTAAAATAGTATCTTTAATCGAGGTGTTGCTTTAAATTAAAAAATCAAGTTTCAAATGATAAGAGACAGCAAACTTACTTTACAAATACCAGCTGAATTTACTTGTAAAGGCGGCAGGCCTGTCGACGTCAAAGGGACACGACGCCCCTTCTTTTCTGCCTTGTCGCGGCCCTGGACACGCGCGCGTATATTTCTCGCGAGAATTTCAGCTTGAGAAGTTCGTAGTGTGTTAAAATTGTGGATAAATCGGTTCGATCCGCGTTATT